AATTATATCGTTTTGTTCGCAAGTTCCTCATATTATACATTCCGCGTGCATATGCAAAGATATGTAGGTATATCTAATATATAACATTCTCGCGTCGCGGTGTTTGTGGTTAAACTCCTCCGAAACGGCTTTCCCGATTCTCATGAAATTTTGTGTGCATATTGAGTAGGTCCGAGAATCGGACAACATCTATTTTTCATCCCCCTAAATGTTAAGGGTAATCCACCCCTAATTTTTTTTTTAATTTTAGATATGTTTTTTAATTTTTTTTACGATACAGCAGTAGTAAATACATATAACCCTGAATTTTCAACCCTTTACAATCAACCCCTATTTTTTATGGCTGTACGAAGTTCGCTGGGACAGCTAGTATTATAATAGTTGATCGCTACCTGTTCACACTGCCGCGCCGGTGGGAACTCTCTCAACTAGCTTGACAAGAGCTATCAAAGATAAGAGGAGCTCGATGGCCAAAAAGGTTAGCGCGTTCGGCTGCCATGGAAGTTAGAAGCATTTTTCGCAATGGTCAGTCATTGGATGGGTGACCAAAAATTAACTATCTCGAGTTCCTCTGTGCTCCGGAAGGCACGTTAAGCCGTTGGTCGTGGCTGCGTCTGCGGTCGTTAGCACCCATCAATCCGTACTGGGCCCGCGTGGTGGGTCATGGCCCAATCTCCCTATTCTATCCATAGGGAAGGCCTGTGCCCTAGCAGTGGGGACATTAACAGGCTGATGATGATGATGATCAAAGATAATACTCGCTCTGCGATATTAGCTCAGCAACGCTCGCTTGTCTCAGACTGGCGCAGATACATTTACGCTAAGGATTGTCTACGAATATCGAATTCGAATAGTTTACGAGTGCGAAATGTCATTGTCCGTTGTGGCGCACCTGTTCAAGTTTTCATACAAGATTTTACAAAGTCATTTCGCACTCTCAAACTATTCGAATTCGATATTGGTTCGTGCTAAGGGAACTGTACCCCTAGCACGAACCATTATCGAATGAGGGCTACCGTTTTCTGCCTCACCAGATGGCGCCACTGTTGAGTGAGGTCCTAAATTGTAACTTTTAAAGTTTATTAATACGGACATGAAATCAAAGGTTACATTTAGATCGTATTTTAACACAAAAGAACCATATCCTAAACATAATAGGCCATGCCACAATGACGCGCAGTTCCGTTTTATTCGGAAAAAATGGGAACATAATCATTTTTCTAAGCTCAAATTTTTAATAACTGACATTCATTGCCACTTAACTCATATTTGCCATAATTAAGCCGAATTGTTACCAATTATTCACAACATTATTTTAATTAGAAATAAACCCGCGTAGTCAACCAACAAGCAATAACATTTGACATTTCGGAGACCTCACGCTACACTAGCGCCTCTAGCGGCGGATTCATACGCGATAGCCCTCATTCGAATAGTTTGCAAACCGAAATGTCAATGTCAAATTTTGTATGGAAACTTGAACAGCAGCGGCACAAAGTACGTAACGAGAACTAAAAATCAGTACACATTTGACAATGACATTTCGGACTCGCAAACGATACGAATTCGATATTGGTTCGTGCTAGGGGTACTGTACTGTACTGGTGACAAAGACATGGGCTCCGGTCACCGGTTTGTACAGCTTAATATTACATTTGACGTCCTGTATGAACAGGTGGAGAACGGTGACGCGAAGAAATAAAATTGCATCAAAAGATGGCCATTGTACTTCTTTTTGTCACGCGAAGTACATACATTAATTTATCTATTTCGATCAATGTTTGTGGTAGTCGCATATCAGGGAGGTCGTATGTCATTAAATACCCAGTGAGATAATGCCCACAGAACGCAGAAATAGTTTAGAGCAGTGATTCCCAAAGTGGTCTATATCGACCTCTAGGGGTCTATGACAACCTGCAAGGGGTCTACGTCAGCGAAAAAAAATCAATATCAGGTAAGTAGGGGGTCTACCCAACACGGAAAAACATGGCAAGGGGTCTACGACACAAAAAAGTTTGGGGAACTCTGGTTTAGAGGGTGCTTATAGACCGTTTGTACGGAAACCGATGTCGCCGGCTCGCTCCCACTACACTTCCAACTTATAGATAATAGCCAATCAAACGACGCGACATCAAACAATCGAGCCAATCAAGCAACTTCGCAATCAGCGCCTGCCCCGCCCACAAAGCCCCTCTTACCTATTTCTGTGTTCTGTGATAAAGGCTATATGGTTTGAGATACTTATATAGTGACATCATAAAACTGTTGTATACCAGATAACTTACTACTTGGGCTGAGCCATACATATCATACTTTTAATACAGGTTACTTTAAATTACTTAAAATTCGAGGTTTCTGTGGAGTTAAAAAAAATTACTACGGGAATTATTTATAGGCCCACGGGGAGGTTTTATGGAAATAGCTCCATCAAGGAAGCCTTAGGAGTTTCATGAATAAAAAGTCTACACGAACGAGATCGCGGGAAATAATTTTTTTTTTAAACACACAGCAATTAGCCTAGCCCCAAAGTAAGCACTATAAGGCTTGTGTTATGGGATGCTAGGGTAACGGATAGAATACATATACTGTACATATATAAGTATATTTATATAAATACATATTAAACATCCATGACTGGAGTACAAATGCTCGTATTCATCACACAAACATCTGCCCCCACCGGGATTCGAACCCGGGACCTCTCGAGTCGGCGACAGCCATGAAACCCGGCGTACAAACCACTCGGCCACGGAGGTCGTCAAATACTCTATTATAAAGGCGAGTTTGTGAGAGTGACAAACATACACATTATGTTTGTTACTTCTTCACGTTGGAGCAATTTTAATAAAATTTAGTATGGAGACAGCTGACACCCTGGATTAACACATAGGCTACGTTCTACTCCCTAAGAAACCGCGGGTAACACCGCGGGGCGCAGCTAGTATGTATTAATTATGAGTAGGTCGTAATATTTATGTTTTTCAATCTAGGTATTTCGCCTGAACTCGCCTGAAGGTGAGCCGTTGACCTTTCGTAACATAATGTTAATTGCATACTGCACACGTGTTCCCACTTACTTAATTATACTTAGCAGATGTTTACAACACCCCATCATCACCAGCTCAAAGTTCAGAGCTGACAGACCTACTCTATTTAAACGAAAAACGAAATTTCGATCGAAATTTCGCACGTGCCTTACTCTGTTTCTATTTCGTTTCGAAAATTCCTTTAAAAGAAGCGTGAAGAAGCAACATGCAGGCAGGGTGAGGATGGCTGGTGTGGCAGGTAGAACTGCTGTATCACCATCTTCGCGTCTGGACTTCACCTTCACTTAACATCAGGTGGGGTGGAGTCATTGGTCGAGCCTACCTATAAAAAAATCGTTCGTCCGAAAATAGTTTGACATTTAAATTTTCTAAGCCTACTCTAATGCACAAAACTTTTGAAGTAAAAGTTGAATTTGTCAGATAATTGTTAGAAATATTAACCTTAAATTGACGAAATGAAAAGTGTTACCTTTTCATTTTCGTTTTGGGATTTTTGTTTTAATAAAACCTAAAATTACTACTAGAGTATTTTGAATTAAGGCTGCTTAACGTGAGGAACATTTTTTAGTATGAAAAATTTATAAATAAATCAAATTTTTGTTTATTATTGTATTGCCAATACTTCAAAGTGTTACACGGCAAATTTAGGTTGACATACATTCAATTGCATCAACTCTACAAATTAGTCGGCTAACACTATCAAAAGAGGTTGTTTGTATGTAATCAAAAATGTTGTCATAAAGTAATATTGTTTTGAAGTAAAAAACGTCATCTAAAAAATGTAGACAAAAAGAACTCACAAACATAACTCATTCCATTCGTTCACGATAATTGTCTGTGATTCCGAACTTTATGTGCGTGTTCGAAGATAAAATAGAGTAGAGTCACTGGCGAAATTTCGTTTATAATTCGTTCGTTGCCGAAATTCCGTTTCGGAGAAAGAGAGTAGAGCTCCAAGGACGAGCGCTTAAACTAACTTATACTAAAAAATAAGCAATCCTTTTAGCACCGACACCAATTAGCCTAAAGTAAGCAGGCTTGTGTAATGGAATACTATGGTAACAGATAGAAAAACACATAATGATACAAATATGTGAGGCACAGGCCTTCCCATATGGATTGCTATTCAATCCATATGAAAGGAGGAGATTACGCCGTGACGTGACTTCCAACGCGGGCCCAGTGTGGATTCGTGGATGCTAACGACTGCAGATGCAGCCGTGACCAACAGTTTAATGTGCAAGATAATAAGTTTTTGGTCATCCATCCAAAGACCGATGAGAAATTTGCTTAACTTCCACTTTTCCGGTCATCTTTATACACCAATTTTACAATGTCTTGCTGTAAATGTATTAAATAACGGCAAGTATGTTAACATAATTTTATTTATGTATGAAGGCGCTGTCCCACGACCTGTATTGTTACGGGCGAGGCCGCGCCGCGCAGGATTGCCAAACGTATGAGAAGTCTAACGTTCCAGTCTATATGATACGAGGTAAATAGAAATCTCGTACAATTTGATATTAGATTTGAACATTGTTGACTGTTTATGTCATGTACACAAACCAAAAATATTATCAGAAAGTAAATAAATGTTCAGTCCACAAAGGATCGACTCAGTAAGTACAGCTTTATAATGCCATCACAAAGTGTACGAGATTTCTATTTACCTAATTTTAATCATGTATAGAGACAGCAAAATCACGAACGTTAGAGTTCTCATATATTTAGCAAGCCTGTGCGGCGCGGCCTCGGCCGCGACAACACAGATTGTGGGACAGCGCAAAGGAGCTAATATAAAATATAAACTTCACTTAAACGAAGGCGCATTGACTTAAGGTAGTGGTGCTATCTCAGAAATAAATCAAGATATATTCTGTGGCAACATGATGCCAGCCCTCGGAAACCAAATAAAATCATGATCTGGTTATAAAATTACATCTTTTGTTTCAGGGTTCGTATGGCATCGTCAAGCTAGCTTACAATGAAGAAGACGACACACACTATGTGAGTATCCCTGATTATTTTTTTAAACCAACACTCTCACCAATTAATAAAGCTCCAAAGTAAGCATGGTAAGGCTTTCGCTATGTGATACTAGGGTGACGGTTAGAATACAAATACTTTTACATTATATAAGCACATTTATCTAGAAAATAACATGCATGACTTAGGTACAAATGCTCGATTCATTTTCATTTCATTTCCTAAAGTCCTCCAAACTCCAGTCCAAAGCAAAACGTCACTTACAGCAAAGAGCGCTGGTTCGAATGCAGACTGACACCTGGGAGAAAGTTTTTATTTTTGGAACGAAGTTCCTTACGGCAGGCTTGGAGGGGATAGGGATTTTGCTGCGCGACCGAACTGAATAAAATGTGATAGTAAAACCGTAAGAAAAAATCCGTGGAAAAAAGTGCGTGGAATAAAACCGTTAAATGAGACGTGCGCAGGCGCGACAGTCGCATACACAAGCGAGTAGTGTATAATACCTTTCTCTTTCTCTCTCTTTCTTTTCGTTCTCTCATCCCTTCTCTTTCTATTACCACTCCACCCCGCCAATGCATAGTATATACTCATGAATTCATGGACAAGCACGTGGCGAATACTCATATTGCGGCAGGCTTGGAGAGGATAGGGATTTTGCTGCGCGACCGAACTGAAAAAAATGTGATAGTAAAACCGTAAGAAAAAATCCGTGGAAAAAAGTGCGTGGAATAAAACCGTTAAATGAGACGTGCGCAGGCGCGACAGTCGCATACACAAGCGAGTTAGTCACAACTTGACATGTAAATGACGTACATGAGAACGCCAAAAAGAAATATTACTAATATTTTGTGTTTATATGATAAAAGAATGCCTAAGTGTGTTTTTAAAAAGTGCTCAAATTGCTCAAGAACTAAAAATAAAACCCACGGCATCACATTCGTAAGTACTATAAAATATATTTTTTCATAAAAATTGCTGTTTGTTTTGAATCTTATTCGGGAGTGACGTCGAGTACTGGTCGCGTGATTGGTCGGTAATTCAGTGACGCGGATCTCGCCGTCCCGTTCGCGCTGCCGTTGAAACTTAACGTGCTGTTTCGCTCGGGTCGGTAATGCAGTGACGCGGATCTCGCCGTCCCGTTCGCGCTGCCGTGGGATCAGTTTTTGTTTGATGCAAGTATAAGCGTACCGTATCTACCCTTTTTGTTTTAATCTAAGTTAGTTCGTCCATTTTGCCAACGACAGCACATGTGAATGTCAAACTTAATTTAATTCTAAAATTTAAAGGTGCTTATGTCATTTTACTTATTATATTCTAAGTCAATTTTCGTTTCTAAATATTCTCTAACCGAGTAAAAACATTTCGTTATTAGCCACATTTTAAGCTTCCTTTTAAATATAGGCAAACTAAGCTCCGTTATCAAGCGTGGTAACTTATTATAGATTTTTATACAATTCGGATAGCAGTTTTTATTGTAATATTGAGTACGCATATTGGGCAACATCAATCTACCACGATTTCTTGCTAATCTGCAGGTATCTGTGTTTTTAAATTTAAAATTATAAGGATGTGTCTTAACAAATATACAACATTCCAAAATATAAATAGAGGGAAGTGTAAGTAATTTTAATTTGGGAAATAGTTGCCTGCATCATGCCATTTGCGCGACATCGCATATATGTAGCTCGGATGCATTGTTTTTGGGATGTAAAAGCTCTGTTATTTCTTTTCTAATATAATTTTTTCTTTACATTTCTAAATCATGTTTGTGTTTCATCATCAATCATGTTTAAAATAAAATGGGTATTTCACTTTTCTAATCAGGTTTCATTCACAGGCCATGAAGATTCTGTCCAAACGCAAGCTGATGCGGCGGGCGGGGCTATTCGGGAGGGCGCCACCCCGAACGGGGCCCCGGGGCCCACCCCCGGACCCCCTGCAAAGGGTCTACCGCGAGATCGCAGTGCTCAAGAAACTTGACCACGCGAACGTAGTTAAATTAGTTGAGGTGAGGTTAATGGGTAACGAGTGGATTTTATATTTCTTTATTCAACACACAATATATATATGAATCATCATTATCAGCCTATTAACGTCCCCACTGCTGGGTTATAGGCCCTTCCCATGGATGGAATAGGGAGTTTGGGCCATGACCCACCACGCGGACCCAGTGCGGATTGGTGGGTGCTAACGACTGCAGATGCAGCCGGGCTTAACGTGCCTTCCGAAGCACGGAGGAGCTCGAGATAGTAAATTTTTGGTCACTCATCCAGTGACCGACCACTGCGAAAGTTGCTTAACTTCAACGATCGCAGCCGAACGCGCTAACCACTTGCGCCATCGAGCTCCTTCTCCTATATATAAAGAATTATAAGAAGGCATAAAGGTATTTTTATGGTAAAAGTGTGGCAATCAAGCATTTGACCCGTCTGATGGCAAGCGACCACCATAACCTATAGACGCTTGTAATACTAAAAATATCACTGGCACCATTACCTACCCTGACCTAATCCCATACCCTATGCAGCCTTAGAACCTTACGCGCCGTCAGAAACACAACACCACCAAACCATGGCGACTTCCCTTCAGTGATACGTAAGAAAATTGCATCACTGATGCACAGGGTTCATGGGAGCGCCAACAGTATCCTTGATGTTATAGGGAAAGAACTGGAGTGTGTCATTCTGAGGCACTAGGGACACGTCCGTGTGACTGGTGCCTTGGCTTTGATTGTTACTAACATTTCTATGAATCTAGATCTGAAATAAACATTATTATAGGTATTATCATTAAATCGAACGGAAAGACCACCATGCCTTCATCATCATCATCATCAACAGCCTATCCTAGTCCACTGCTGGATAGGCCTCTCCAAATGCACGCCACTCAGATCGATCTTGGGCTACTCGCATCCAGCTCCTGCCAGCCACCTTGTGCAAATTGTCACTCCACCGTGCCTGAGGACGTCCTACACTACGTTTGCCTAGACGCGGTCTCCACTCCAGAACTCGTCTACCCCAACATTGCAGTTAGGTAGAAACAACTTTGAGGACGAGGTGAATAGAAGAATTCAGCTAGGTTGGGCAGCATTTGGGAAGCTACGTCAAGTCCTGACATCGTCGATCCCACAGTGCCATGCCTTACCTCTATTGTAATAATGTATGTATACAGCGAGCAATTGAGAGAGCGATGCTTGGTATTTCCCTGCGCATTAGAATTGGAAATAAAGATATCCGTACGAGGACTAGAGCAACCGACATTGCTTAAAGGAATGCTAATGTGAAGTGACAGTTGGCAGGACCTGTAGCGAAGAGAACTCATCGCCATTGGGGTGGAAAGACGCCTTCAAAATCAATATAAATCAGTATAAGGCACGATTCTAATATGATATGTTTTCAGGTCTTAGACGACCCAGCGGAAGACCAGCTGTACCTGGTATTCCAACTGCTGGAAGGAGGACCAGTGATCGACATCCCCACGGATAACCCACTCAGCGAACAGCTGGCCAGGAGATACTTCAGGGATGCCTTGCTAGGAGTAGAATACTGTAAGTATTATTGAACTTATAGCAACCTAGATGGCAAGCAACTTTTTATAATACTGCGTTAACATACTTGTCGAAATTTGGCAAGTGTTCAGCGTGCACAGGATTAAAAGGTTACAGGAGGACAAGTGCTGGATAAAATATAAATAGTTCCTTTGTTTTTGTGTTTTCACCGTGTTTCCATGCTTGATATTGAGCAAGTTTGCATTGGCTGCACCAACATTTTGGTGCAAAAAGTTTGAATGCATTGTGTTTAGTAAACGCTGGTGCTTCGTTTTTGAGTCTAAAGAAATTAATTACTAGGACTCAATTCCACTCAGTCCAGGTGTCAGACAAGAAAAAATCATTAGATTTATAAATCTACTAGTTTAATACTGAAATAACAAAATAATAAACCACATTTTTTAAGAGGTTTACAAATTCGATTCATTCCTCTGTAATCACCTGGAGTTACCTAAACATAATCCACTTACTACATCTTGACCGCTTTCGATCAGGCCCTTGTCACCTATCACACCCTTGCAGGATTTTTTTAACCTTTTGGCCCCTAAAAGCCTCCTGAATTTTGCCATTTCCGAGCCCTGTCTTCACAAATTGAACTCAATAATAATAAGTTCTGCTAGGGCACAGACCTCTTCTGTGAACGGAATAAAATGAAAAAGTCCAGGATGGTGGTTGCTATCGACTGCAGACACAACTAGAGTCGTCAATTTACATACGACTATCCTAATAATATATGTTGTTAACGATATTGTTACCATGTACCTTGTTTTTAACGAATTTCCGATATTTTGGCACTGTTGCAAGCGCCATGATCACGGAGTAACTGAAGTAATTGCGGGTAGATGTTATTGGCAGACATATCGGACCGATTGGCTAGGCATGCGTCCGATATATCAAAACGAATCCAAAATCCGATTTCAAACACAAATCGATACCGAACGATTTTTCAACAAGAAAATCCGATTTCAGAAATCGATCTGAACCAAAACTATCTAATACCACCACAAGTATCCAAATGTAAATCGGATTCGAAATTCGTGCTTTCGTTTTCGGAAGTCCGATTTCGTGCTCGGAAGTCCGATTTCGGTTTGCTGTTTACGGAAATCTATTGCTCTTCTCTAAGGCGGGATTATTTATCACTCAAAAGAGATGTTGTCTAAAAACATCAAAAGTCGAGCAACTTACATTTTTGAACGCTAACCTGAAGTAATTAGGTTTGATTTTGTAAATGGTTTGAAAAATAATAAAAACAAACAGAAAAACAAAACAAAATTCTAAAAAAATATGTAAAAAGAAATCATTGTATACAAGCCGATTTTTAAATGCACCGGAAAAGTTTTACTTTTAACCGTAAACATAACTTTGCTGGTAGACCTAAGCCTAGATTTAAAGCATGAAGGAAAATCGCGCAAATCTACGAGTATCCTTGCTTCCTACAACTATTTATTGTTTGTGATTGTCGTTAGCTAATAAAACCAAATCATAACACAAACTAGTGAATTGGCTAGGTTAGGCACATCTGAAATCGGATATCTAAAAACGGATTTTAAAATCGATTTTGAAATCTGAAATCCGATAAATATCCGTTTGCGTACAAAACCAAAAACGCCCATGTTTTATATCGGTCTACCCTCCGACGAAGTCTTTTATAGCGTTCGATACCCGTACCACTGTTCACATTTGCACTATTCACTCGAAACTGTTCCCCACACACAACACTTACAGTACCGAATCCCGACACGACACTTTTTTGATTTTTCCTGTTTTTACACATACGAACCACAAGATTCCAGATACTCGACAATTTAAACCCGTCCTCACGGTTGAAATTTTTATGTTTTGTTATTTCAATAGCTTCCCTGACCAATGTTGGTATGTAGTGGCGTTCTGTCGAGATAATCTGTGGGTAATGGAACCCAATCCAGTGGTTAGGACCCGAATTAATCAAATGTTCCGCGATGGCTGATTTCTTCGTATCGTTGTTCTTGATTGCTTTAATGTGTTCCCTCATTCGGCATGCTACTGTTAGCAATCCCGTTAATAACATATATTGCTATAATCTTAGTGACCATGAAAGTTTAAAACAATGTAAGACTATCCTAAAGCTTACGCTAAGGAGCTTGAGTTACTCAATTCTGATCTTCCATTCTACGAATGGAAAGATAAGTAAGTATGCCAAATACTAATTTATGTATGCTGACAAATTTGAGGGAGAAAATTGAGCATACATTATGAACCTTCACGCAACTTCCTTATCCCGTCTACCAGGGCCTAATGAAATGTAAACTCCATTCACTTTGCGAGCCGAGCGACGACAGGGAAGTAGTAAATATTTCAACCGACTCGACGGCACCAGCCCATGTTGCCACCGCCAAGATTAAGCATAAATTTACATACGAAATCCAAATTCCGGGTGGAAACATCTTACCTTATACAGTCAACTGAATAACAGTGAGTTAGGTCAAACCGACGTTTAGCAATTGAATAACAAATTATTTGTTGCGATTAAAGATTTCCATAGTTCGTACGAGTATGTCTCCGAAACAATGTTTACTTATAAAAAAACATCATCAAAATTGATCCCCAAATCTGACGGATACTGGCGAATTAGCAATTTAATTTTTGCTGAAAGTATTTATTTTGCACCTTGCACATCAACTAGCTTAGTTGGTGAAACAGTACCTGTATTAGTCTTTCATATTTCTTAAAATAACCAAACACAAAAGTATGCTGTTTATAATTGAGAATATCCGTTGTTTATCACCAAAAGACCAGACGAAATCTTCACCAAATTATTTTAATGACAATAAAAAGTTACAATTTATTGTCATTTTTTATTATTTTATTTATTGTCATTGACAATGGTCGTTTTTTATTGTATTGACATTATTGACATTAAATTTTTGTAATTTGAATCTTAGAATAATAATTATGAATATAAATAATAATTAATTTGTATGCCGATATTGGCACAAAATGTTATGTTATATTATGTACTTTGGTTGAGAATAGAACCCTGAATTTTCTACCACTGAACCACCGATGCTCGTCGATAAGGTCTATTTTTTTTAATCTATACTTATAATAAATCTGTAGAGAGGTCAATTGGACGTAGTTACGCGAAAACGTTCCAACCCACAGCGACCCCATTTTGAGATAAACGCAATTTTGTGTTTTAGCGGTACACTTTTTCCCTGTAATTATTTCAGGCAAATACTATTGGTGTTACTGTGGAATGCCAAATTGGTTATTGAATGATATGCATATTTTTTGTAAATACATAATACAAGGGGCATATAAATAGGTAAAACGAGTTTGAAACGTTTTCGCTAAATTTAATTTTGTATGAACCTTGTTAAATAGCAATTATGCATAAACGTTCCAGAACGAATTTAAGTGTATTATTTTATAAATATATCTAAAATAAATATGTAAAATAATAAATAACAATGAGGAACATACAAAAACAACAAAAATTTGAAAATGTATTACAAAAAAAATAGAACGTGATCTTTTGAGCTTTGAACCTATGCCAATTTGCTGATATGGTTCCAAAAGTTATCAAAAACTTATATTATAAACATTCAATTTTCATCATCGTATTCTATGATCTCGAAGTCCGGAACTCCACCAAACCCATCAACATCATCAGTGCTTCTTCAGAACAGAAGGCAATCCACTTCCTGTGCACCTCTTCCTACCTCTCCTTCTACCAATACATAACAATGCCCAGTATCATTAGATGCACTATGGATACCACTATTGTAGAACTAAGTAAAAAAGTTAAACCTCTTCAAGTTTACAAAATGACAAAGACTGATTTTATAGTACAACTAAACTGGAAAAGAAGATTATCAATAGGAAGAAGTTTACAGACTCATCTAAAGTTAGTTGGCTACATACAAAAGAAATTAAGTTGGATAAAGATATAATTTTTTCTATTTTTATGCGGTCTACGATGGAAGACGATTTCAATGAGTTGAAAATTGATAAAAGAATAAAACGAGAACTACAATACATAAAAGAATCTGATTTTTGCTTATTGTGGCCTAACGACAAACCGATTGCTCCAGCGAAATTAGTGGACTTACAATCCATGTACCACTACATACCCGAGGATTGCCTTCAATTTTATAGAACGCTTCAAAGTTCTGAAGAAGCACTGATGATGTTGATGGGTTTGGTGGAGTTCCGGACTTCGAGATCATAGAATACGATGATGAAAATTGAATGTTTATAATATAAGTTTTTGATAACTTTTGGAACCATATCAGCAAATTTTTGGCATAGGTTCTAAACTCAAAAGATCACGTTCTATTTTTTTGTAATACATTTTCAAATATTTTTTTTGTTGTTTTTGTATGTTCCTCATTGTTATTTATTATTTTACATATTTCTTTTTGGTTTATTTTTATAAAATAATACACTTAAATTCGTTTTGGAAAGTTTATGCATAATTGCTATTTAACAAGGTTCATACAAAATTAATTTAGCAAAAACATTTCAAACTCGTTTTACCTATTTATATGCCCCTTGTATTATGTATTTACAAAAAATATGCATATCATTCAATAATCAGTTTGGCATTCCATAGTTAAACCAATAGTATTTGCCTGAAATAATTACAGGGAAAAAGTGTGTAAATTGCGTTTATCTCAAATTGGGGTTGCTGTGGGTTGGATCATTTTCTCGTTACTACGTCCAAATATACCATAGTTATTTATTTTGGTAAAAAATATCTTGTTCTCTAGAACATACTTAATAGCAAAAATGGATCAAGTATATGTGGATTGTTTATAGCAAAAAATTAGAAAATAATATATTATAATAAAAGGTTTCAATTTATTTAGAACAGTGTTCGCAGCTTAAAAAAACAGTATGGATTAATCTAAAAGGTTTCAAATTACATGGAACATTTTTGCAGAAATAAAAAATGTATAAAGATTTTGCAAAAACGTTCCAACCCACATGGATCATTTAAGAAACCATTAAATGTGCGTTTTATGAATTTAGTATAATGTTCCAAGACAAGTGGAACATTATAACGATATGTTATTCTATTAAGAGTTTTTAACAATATGTTTCAGTATGCATGTAATGTTTTTACTTTATTTTGAGTACACGTCCTTGGCATAATGGTGGGTTGGAACATTTGGGTTAAACTTTATTGATGAAACTAACCTAAAAATACTAGCATCTTTGTGTGCACATGATGTAATATGTCAAAAATAGTACCCTGGTTATGGTAACTCATTTTCGAGTGACTTGTGGGTTGGAACGTTTTCGCGTAACTACGTCCAATTCTGTACATGAAATATATTTTCAAAATAACTATCAGGGGGTGATTAGTGATCGATACTGATGCCAAAAATGCAATCAGTAAATTTTTTGTCTGTCTGTCTGTCTGTCTGTCTGTCTGTGTGTATGTTCCTTATAGAAACAAAAACTACTCGACGGATTTTAACGAAACTTGGTACAATTATTCTTCATACTCCTGGGCAGGTTATAGCATACTTTTCATCACGCTGAAATCAATAGGAGCAGAGTAGTGAAGGGAAATGTTGGGAAAACGGGAGAAGTTACTCCATTTTTTAAGCTTCCGTCGCGTGTGCAGCCTTAATGGTTAAAGTAACATAGAAATCATGTATGACGGAAATATTCTACATAAAATTATCTAAAAAATATCCAGCAACAGCATATGTCTATCTTTTATGGTTGACTCACAATAACACGTGTAATTATATAAATAAAGTCATTGTTTATAACACAAGCCTGAGAACAAAAACTATAGTTTACACTACAGCTCTACACCGAAGCGAAGCGAGGGCGGGCCACTAGTAACAAATAAAAATGTATTACTACTTGCTAAAGCTGTAAGAAAACATTTTTAGCGATGTTATAAAAGTTTCACTTTAATAACAAAAGTAAATTGATCGCTTGTTCTATCTACACTATGGTCGATTGAATCTTTAACCTACATCGAACAATGTTTCATTCGCGTATCCATCAATACTTCAGCATTTTGTTCTAAAGATCTCGTTCGTACGTTGCACGGATGTATCAACCCACTTTGGAAATAACTCTTCTTGTAGTTTCCACACTTATAACAGAGTTGAACATTTTGCAAACTTTCAAAGAACCAGGCAACAATTTTTATCTGAGTGTAAGTTTTCAAAGGGAAACTCTTTGTATACATTCGCTGAAGTGCGAAAATTCTGCTATAAATTTATGCTGAAAAGCGGAAACCTATTTTCTTCAACTGGAATAACATAAATCGCCTGCACACCGCGAGTAAAACTACTTTACAATCGCGAGCTACGCGAAGCTAAATCTGAGCGAATCAGCTCCACATTGGAATAGAAAAAAAAATGTATTTACAGAAGTCCTTCGCATCCATGGTGTGTATGTGGTGTAGAAATGCCAAAGGGGAAGATCTTCCTCCGAGCTGGGTGGTGTTAGCTCGGGGGCCGCGGCACGACTGATGTTGGTCGGGCATCGTATATATCAACTGTTGGCTACCGAATTTTACTTGCGCGATGTAGGCTTCCTTACGTTGTGAACGCAGCGCCGGTAGTGCCATCTCTTGAGGAGGCGTAAGATTGTTTCCTCTATGTTAGTTATATGTGGGGCGTGTAGATGTCGCCGCCACAGTGGGAACCTCATAATTCAAATTCTAAAATCATTTATTCAGTTTAGGCTTTTACAAGCACATATGAAAGTCGAAATCTACGCCATCGGTTCGCAAAAATACGGCGGGAGACCTTGTACTGAGAAGAACCGGCAAGAAACTCAGCAAAGGCTGTTTTTTTTTCTCTCCCTGTTTTTTTTTCATACAATATCGTCAAATTGAAAGTTGACATCAAACTTGCAAACATATGTTGAGGTCAACTTCCATCACATAATGTCAAATAGGTAACAATAAATAATCAACGAATTTACTAACATTAAGTGAAGAAAAGTCCCAAAATAGCAAGAAACAATCTTTAAAACAAATTGAACAAGTACATATATGAAAGGGAGTAAATGCAAGGTTCTCTACAAAACTATTTTTAGGGCCCCCAGTTTTAATATAACTTTTGAATTTTTTTATCTACTGGTAAAATTACAACCAGGCCGTTTTATCATTTAAATATTGTTTTACAGTATAATATACTTTCTTAAGTAAGCAATTCTTAATGTGTATTTTAAAATGAAGAGCATATCTAGAAATTGTATATTAATCGTCATCATGAGACTATTAATGTCCTCATTGCAAGATTATAGAGGACCTAACACGTTCTTTGACAGCTCAGTAGCACGAACCATTATCGAATTCGAATAGTTTGCGAGTGCTAAATGTCAATGTCAAATTTGTATGGAAACTTGAACAGCAGCGGCACAAAGTACGTAACGAGAACTATATCAGTACACATTTGACAATGACATTCCGGACTCGCAAACGATACGAATTCGATATTGGTTCGTGCTAGGGAAACCGAATAGCTCAGAAACGTAGCACTCCTACCGGATGTAAGAACAAACTGGCTCTTTCCACACAAAATTTGACGATGACGATACTATTATCGATCTGTCAAAATTTGTGTTCGGGCCTTAGGACTTTACTATGAATAGAATAGGGAGAACAGACCATGATCAGAACCAACTTAGCCTGCCGAACTATGTAACAGTTAGACATAACATATTTTTAGCTAAAGATACACTATATTTTAGTTATAATCACTGTAAAGACAATTTCATTTAAGTACGACCTCTAGCCTAGAATGAGCACCGCAATATGATATTTTAATATATCAACTTTGTATCACAGCCAATCATTGAAGCACTGGAATTTGACAATCACATGTTATTCGCCGCCCTAACACATTACTGACATACACACCTTCAGATACAATATCACAATGAAATATAAAAATAACTGTAATGAAGTAATCAAACTTATACTGCAAGATAAGGACTTACATGTACTGCCTGCTCACTGATCTCCTGCAGTCTGTGTCTAAGGGTCGATAGAGGTTGGGATTATTTGGGAGATGCAAGCAAACAGCACCACTTTTCGATGACGCGGTCTTCTCCACCAGCGTTACACAATACCCGACCTTTCCACTATAATAACGAGGCAGACGCAACTTTCGTTATCACAGACACAACAATTTCACTTAACAACGCAGGTTCAACAAATACAACAGTGACTGTTGTTACATACATAGAAGCGGGCCACACTACTGGATAAACCACGCTGTTCAAAATTACAAACGTTCCAATTACAAAGACAAAAGCAGGGCTTGCTTATCTTGAACCCAAGAAGCCCTCCAACAATTTTAGCCTTTTCCTAAAAATAATGACCACAAAATTCTCTCATAAAAACGTTATATGTTGTCACCTACCAATTCTCACTAAGCCTGTGTGTTGAGTAACGGCCCAATCTCCCTACTCCATTCATAGCCCTGTTTCCCAGTAGTGGAGACATTAATAGGCTAATGCTGTTGATTTTATCGCATGCTACAGGGAAAGTATTGAAAAAACTCTATCTTGTAACTCATCGCAGCAGCAAATCGTCCAGCGCGACTTAAAACCATTGAACCTCCTACTGGGCATGGGCTGCGTGCAGAACAATTGCATCCTGTATTACCCCACCTTAATACTGGTTGAATGTTCACTGTTAAAGTGGGTAAGCTATTCAAAACTTCCACCTTATTGTCCTCAGTACACTACCAGCGTATAGCACACCGCGATATAAAGCCGGCTAACCTCCTGCTCGGCGAGGGACGGGTCCAGGTGGCGGACCTGGGCGCGTGCGGCGAACTGGCGGGTGCCGGACGGCTCACAGGCGCCGTAGGCACGCCCGCCTTCAGGGCCCCCGAAGCTGCGGCCAACGCTGACAAGTACAATGGAGAGGTGAGACCCATAGACAAAGAGATAATAGCTGAGTATTCTTCTGCCATCTTTCAGATAAATTCTAACGCGGTCGCGTGATCGCTTCATTTGTGATCTTTCTCTTTTACCCGTTACACATTCGCACAGTATTGCAGCTAACACAGACAAATTCAAAGGAGAGGTGAGACCATACACATACAGAGAAGGGACTGAATATACACACTCAAGGGCTTACAGGCGCTGTCGTAGGTACGCCTGCCTTCAGAGCCCTGGAGGCTGCGGCCAACGCGGACAAGCACAACGGAGAGGTAATATCATACCGCAATATCCCTGGATTGCAGCTCTATCTCTATATGTTTAGTACAGACAGAGAGGATGAACTGACTATGGCTCACGAGTGCCGTGGGGAAACTCGCCTTGAGAGCCCCGGAAGCTGCGGCCCACGCTGACAAGTACAACGAAGAGGTGAGACCCATAGACCGACGGTCAGATAAATTCCAACGTGGTCGCGCAATCGCTTCATCTCTTTCGCTTTTCTGTCCATTACGCAGTCGCAGGGTAATGCAGCCAACATAGACAAATACAACGGAGAGGGGAGAGAGAACCGAGTATGGCTTACGAGTGCCGTCGACAAGCCCGTCTTCAGGGCTCCGGAGGCTGTGGCCAACGCTGACAAGTACAACGGAGAAGTAACACGATACGACAACATCCCTGGACTGCTGCTTTCTATATGTATGGTACACATAATGAAAATGGACTGAGTATGGCTCACGCCTGCCTTTAGGACCCCGGATGTCACCGCCAACGCAGAGAAATACAGCGGAGAGGAGCTGTACACATTAGGCGGCCATTATACGGTAGGTTTTGATGTCAATTAAAAATATTTTTTCGTTTAATTTGCTGGCAGTCAAGGTTATGAACGTCTAATGAGTTTTTAGTCGCTATCCAGTATTTTCGTCATTCATAACTGATGGCTGCACGAGCGTCTAATGGATAACATAGAGAGAATGGATGGAGTCCTTTCAGGGCCTCCAACGCACACAAGTATAACGGAGAGGTGAGATCTAAGTAGATATATGATACACGTTTAATAGGTTTCCCTTAAAAAACCTTCGTCTTCCCTTCAAATGGATCGGCTTGCCCGTTTCGTTCCGGGAATCACCTTGCAGAAGATTGTATCCAAATCCTACTCAAGCTCACCTAAGCCGATTTAAACGCCGATAAGTGTTTCAAAGGAGCAAGACTGTAAATGTGTTTTCTTCTTGAAAATCTTTTCAGACAGGTAGAGCTAGCGAGAGTACAATTTAAACGACTGCGCCGTGTAGAATTATTATTCATATAACACACAAGAAATCGTTGCAAATACATAATTTTGTAGTGTTTCATTCTACGTTTATGTGCTTATTGTGGCCTCCAAATTGAGGTTCAAATAAATCTTCCTGCACTTAATTTTTAAGGACACAATTTGATTAAACAGAAACATTGTTATATCCATCTACCACATTATTCAGCTAGAATGTGATCAATGCGATAATGAGGTTCAGAGAGATCTTCCTGCGACAACAATTTGATTAAACGGAAACAAATTATTTGATCTATCTACTTACATTAGTCAACTAGAATACGATTAATGCGATAATCATGACAAACACTGAACTTATATATATATATATATGAGTATCAATACCATACTCCAAATGGATCATCATATCAGGTCTCTTTATTTACAACTCCTACGCATAGATAGCCTTCGAAAGATAAAAAACAATGCCGTAGTTCTGATCGCTCATAATGTAATTCTCCCTTCAGGCAGCCGACATTTGGTCTCTTGGTGTGACTTTATTCGCTATGGTGACGGGACGCGTACCCTGGATAGGGCCCACGGCGACGGACCTGCAGCGAAGGGTGCTGGAGGAGCCCCTGGCCTTCCCCGCACGCCCACAGCTGACCAGGTCGTTAAAGGATCTGCTACATAAGATGTTGGATAAGAACCCCGGCAGTAGAGCTACTATGCAGGAGATTAAGGTAAAATATAAATTTGTACTTCATCGGCATAAGCATGACGTGTTAATCTCAAACGCTGGAACAAGATCTGCCAATCATAAACGAATGTGACATACATAGCTAGTGTAGGATTTCCTATCTGTGTCTGTATTGCTAAATTTATATAGGCTCTACATTATTTAATTCATCAAAAAACAGGAGGCGAGGATCTACTTATCATCAAGTTTTTAAATAATCTACATTTTGATCGAGTCAGATTTAAAATTCATTTTTAAGATTTTGGTAATAAATCTGATTTCTAGACTTTCTTGACTCCAATCACATTCAGGTTATTCTATTAACTTATTTCCTTCAGGAACACGAGTGGGTGACTGCGTTTGGCTTGGAGCCCTTACCCTCGGAGCAGGAGAACTGCCGCCTGGTGGAGGTCACGGACGAGGACATGGCGCAAGTGGTCACCTCCATCCCCAACCTCTCCACGCTGATCCTCATCAAGACCATGCTCAAGAAACATAGCTTCCAGGTTCGCGGAACATTGTTGAGCATCTTTCTTATTTTAGGTCTTTAAGTTACAACCGCTGTTCAATAACAATACCGGGAGTGGGTTTCGCCGATACACTTTCGAAAATGAAAACGGGCTACTTACAATGTGAAAAGATGGCGTTGCAGCCTAAGAAATACTAGAGAAAAATCGACACGGATAATCAGGGCAGCGGTAAATAAAGATTTCTTTGTTTGGATACAGAACCCGTTCACACGCAGCCGCGAAGGCAGCGCTGGACGGCGCGAGTCGGGCGCGGGGCGCGGCGCGGGGGACGCCACGCGCGCACGACGCGGGACACTCGCGCGCGCCGGGCGCTCGCACTCCGCGCCAGGGGACTACCTCACCACCAGGTGACTGGCATCACTACTCAGGCGGGGGGGGGAGACGCGGGACACTCGCGCGCGCCGGGCGCTCGCACTCCGCGCCAGGGGACTACCTCACCACCAGGTGACTGGCATCACTACTCAGGCGGGGGGGGGAGACGCGGGACACTCGCGCGCGCCGGGCGCTCGCACTCCGCGCCAGGGGACTACCTCACCACCAGGTGACTGGCATCACTACTCAGGCGGGGGGGGGGAGACGCGGGACACTCGCGCGCGCCGGGCGCTCGCACTCCGCGCCAGGGGACTACCTCACCACCAGGTGACTGGCATCACTACTCAGGCGGGGGGGGGGAGAGACGCGGGACACTCGCGCGCGCCGGGCGCTCGCACTCCGCGCCAGGGGACTACCTCACCACCAGGTGACTGGCATCACTACTCAGGCGGGGGGGGGGAGACGCGGGACACTCGCGCGCGCCGGGCGCTCGCACTCCGCGCCAGGGGACTACCTCACCACCAGGTGACTGGCATCACTACTCAGGCGAGACGCGGGACACTCGCGCGCGCCGGGCGCTCGCACTCCGCGCCAGGGGACTACCTCACCACCAGGTGACTGGCATCACTACTCAGGCGGAGACGCGGGACACTCGCGCGCGCCGGGCGCTCGCACTCCGCGCCAGGGGACTACCTCACCACCAGGTGACTGGCATCACTACTCAGGCGAGACGCGGGACACTCGCGCGCGCCGGGCGCTCGCACTCCGCGCCAGGGGACTACCTCACCACCAGGTGACTGGCATCACTACTCAGGCGAGAGACGCGGGACACTCGCGCGCGCCGGGCGCTCGCACTCCGCGCCAGGGGACTACCTCACCACCAGGTGACTGGCATCACTACTCAGGCGAGAGACGCGGGACACTCGCGCGCGCCGGGCGCTCGCACTCCGCGCCAGGGGACTACCTCACCACCAGGTGACTGGCATCACTACTCAGGCGAGAGACGCGGGACACTCGCGCGCGCCGGGCGCTCGCACTCCGCGCCAGGGGACTACCTCACCACCAGGTGACTGGCATCACTACTCAGGCGGAGAGACGCGGGACACTCGCGCGCGCCGGGCGCTCGCACTCCGCGCCAGGGGACTACCTCACCACCAGGTGACTGGCATCACTACTCAGGCGGGGGGGGGGGGGAGAGACGCGGGACACTCGCGCGCGCCGGGCGCTCGCACTCCGCGCCAGGGGACTACCTCACCACCAGGTGACTGGCATCACTACTCAGGCGAGAGACGCGGGACACTCGCGCGCGCCGGGCGCTCGCACTCCGCGCCAGGGGACTACCTCACCACCAGGTGACTGGCATCACTACTCAGGCGGAGAGACGCGGGACACTCGCGCGCGCCGGGCGCTCGCACTCCGCGCCAGGGGACTACCTCACCACCAGGTGACTGGCATCACTACTCAGGCGGGGGGGGGGGGGGGGGGGGGAGAGACGCGGGACACTCGCGCGCGCCGGGCGCTCGCACTCCGCGCCAGGGGACTACCTCACCACCAGGTGACTGGCATCACTACTCAGGCGGGGGGGGGGAGAGACGCGGGACACTCGCGCGCGCCGGGCGCTCGCACTCCGCGCCAGGGGACTACCTCACCACCAGGTGACTGGCATCACTACTCAGGCGGGAGAGACGCGGGACACTCGCGCGCGCCGGGCGCTCGCACTCCGCGCCAGGGGACTACCTCACCACCAGGTGACTGGCATCACTATTCAGGCACACTACAACAGTCTTCTCTGGATGAATCATACCGGATACGTTGACTTGTCAACCCCATTTACATTTTGTGTAAATTTACTTATTTGTATACGCAATAGTAACTCTACCCTTATTCATTCCCAGGCAACAATCGTTCGACATCAACCTGGAGTCGGTAGAAGAGTCGCGCGACCAGAGCGTCGACGGGCGCGAGGGGGAGGCTCCCCCCTCCAGCCCCGCCCCGGCCCCCCCACCTGCGGCCGCCACCGCCCCCGCCCCCGCCCCCGCCACGCGCGTGCAGTCCGCGCGGTGATATTCCCCGCGCCGCGCCCCGCGGAGGAGCGCATACAGTTTCGACAGGGAAGTCAAATTGCTCATGTTTTAACTGGAAGAAGACCTTGTATATTGTTTTGCCATAGTCTACATTATGGCATTTTGGAAATAAAAATTCTTCGGTCGCGCTCGCCGCGTCTGCAGATTCGACAGGGAAGCGAAACTACTTGTTCTAACTGGAGGAAGATTTCTTGAACCTTCTCTATTATTTAGCTTTAGTATAGGAACCGGTTGTAGTAGGTCACATGCATTGCAGAGAACAACTTTTCAGTCAGCGGTGGCTACTGCTTTGACAGGGAAGTCAAACTACTCATATTCTAAACGGAGAAAGACCTTTTTTAATAATTAGCTATAATAAAACAAGCTCGTTGATCCAAGCTATTATGGGAAAGGTAAACTTTTCAGTCCCACTCTCCAGCTCATGGTTTAATCAATAAAAATTGCTATTTTTCAATTTTGGTATTCGAACTCATTGAACGCAAGCGATATGGAAGAGAGAATCCTTTCAGTCCCACTCCTCAGTTAGACAACGCTACCAACAACTAACAATGCAAATTTTTCGGACGAATCACAAACGTTAAATTGCAATCTGAATCGCTATATGTCTTATATTCTCCGTATCATCTTCATGACCCCCTGATACGTTACGTCCCGTATGCAGTTAGCTTTAAATTGCTTTATTTTTGCTGCTTGATTTATTTTAAAGACAATTTTATTAGCAACAAAAAAACAAGGTCCAGTTAAAACGCAGGATAGACACCTGGACTTAGCCAAGTTTTACCTGGTAAATTATGTTTATTATTGTTTATTCCCGGTCTTCTCCATTTCCTTTCTTTTCTTCCACTATTCCCTTCACGATGTTATCAAAGCTTAATCGTGTCATTAAGGTGCCTGAACATCCTTCTTCTGTTTACCAAAGTTTCAAGTTACGCTCTCTTTTTGTTCACCATTTGTAATGGTCTTTCGTTTGTTATCCTTTTTATATTTTATATAGCCAGGAAGGCAAATGACTCTAACCCACCTAATATTAAGTGGTAATAAAGTTCAAATGCGAAGATAGCTGGTACAGCAGTTATAAACTGCCACACCAACCATCGTAACCTTGAAGGCCTGCAAAAATGCTTCTTCACGCCTCTCTTAAAAGAACCAAGATTGTAGGAAGGAGCGAACTCGTGAGCGGGCAGAGCATTCCATTTACGGATAGTGCGACGAAGAACTGAGTCACCAAATTTCTTTGTACGCGTTGGAATTGTGGCCACAGTTAGATGGTGACAACGTAGGCCAGCGCGCGTGGTCCTCTGAAGGAAAGGGAACACGTGCGTGGTAATCCAAGTACTTAGCCGTTTCCATCTTTCGCCATTCACATCCACATTTGATTTCTTCCCAAAAAGACAACAGGCCCACCAGTGACTATTTACAAGTTTTTTTTTGTATGCTTAAACTTTTATTAATCTCTGGTTGTTATGCGCTGCACTTTACTAATAAATATTTTACCAATATCGCTATTCTGGTAATACGATTTAACTACAAAAACATTCTCCATTTTAATGAAGACCATATTAAAATTAAATTCGACATTGATTTTCTTTTTGTCTTTTTTATGTTATTGGCTGTAAATAAAATGTTCTTAGATAGGTGAGGACAAAGAAATTTGGAAAACCTCAAGTGATTTAATAATATTTAATTCAAAATGAATTCGATGACTTCGGATTCTCATTAACTATTCAATTTCATTTAGGAATTGAGTCTAAATCCATCTGTTATCTTTCCTCATATGTATATTTAAATGACCATCAAAAAATATGAATTGATTCTTAAAAAAATACCTAACCTTAGGGATACCAATTGTATTTTTATGTGATCATTTAAATATTACCCTTATATATTTCTTGGTCGAGTGATATTTCGAAAAAATTTAGTATGTATTTGATAAATTAATTAGGTAACAGTTAATAAAATGCTTGGGATTAACTCCGATATTTTTATAAATCTTGCAATTCCTAGTCAGTAAGACTGTAAAATATAAATTTTAAATTCAAAATAATTCATTCCTCGCCTAGTCGTGAAGTTTTTAATTATAGAAGAAAAATATTGTAATATTTAAAACTATTCCATTTATATAAATTTCCAATTTTATCCTGTTTCTCTTAGATTAAGAAATGCACTAATTACGGTTAATTTTTCATTGTTCAGATAAAAAAAATAAGAAGTGTTTATTTTTATTCAAATGAATTTTGAAAAAAATGTAAATCATATCATCATCATCATATTCATTAAAATTGCTCAAACTGTAAATATTGTTGTTCAATTTGTCATAGTCATCAAACAATTCACTCAATTTTATTCAGATACCTATATGTTATGTTTTTGGATAACTTATTTTTAAATTCCCAATTTGATCGTTAGGTAGTGTCATAGTTACAATGCCATTAAAACTAATGTTTAATGTCACATTTTAATGTCATTTACCTTTAGTATTTTGGAACTGTCTTAATATGAATTATTTGTAAATAATAGTTACATATTTTTATAGAATTGAAAAATGTTTAATTGTATAGTGTTACATAATAATTTTACTATTTCTTTGATAAATTTTAGTGTTTGGGTAGCTTTTTAGGTGGAATACGCCATTTACGCATTTAATATTATAAATTTTATTATTCAAGCGTGTTTATATTAAGTGAATGACCAATTTTAAAGTCAAATTAGCCTTTTCAATACACGTTTTAGCATTGTAACATAGAACATTTAATTAGCAATTAAGTTTATAAGCAATTTCAATGCTGCTGATAATTTTGTTGACGAATCGAGTTTGCTGTAGAATTCCTTTTATTTTAAAGATAATAATGAATCATATATCCCTTTAATAAAAAAAATACTTAAATATACTTTAAAAGAAAGAAGTATAGGCAGCGGCAAACTTCTTGAGAAAATTTACAGGAAAATAAGCTTGCGCAGTAGAGTCTGTGCGGAAAGAGAATGGGATTTAGATTGGAGGGCGCTGTAGTGCTTTTCTACCGTATTTGTAATGTTTTACCCCTTTTAGACATATTAAATACAAAAAACCGTAAGAAATCACAACAATAAACAAATCCGTATCAATACAAAACTTTGACATTTTACAGATTGCTGGGTTTGATTGCCAAATAAAAATCTTAATGTTAGTTCCGTTTTTCGCCACACCCATTCTCTTTCCGCAGAGACTCTAGACGTTTTCGTATGGAAAATTTCTACACGCAGGCGTCCTTGTCTTAGGTCGTTGTTCAAGAAATTTGCCGGGGTTTATACATTTCCGTAGAAGGAAATAGTTCTGGTGTCATATTGTAAGTTTATGTGTAATAAAACAAATCATGGACGAAACAGAAGAAACGCATTTGTAATCAGAGAGAAGTAAACAAACATCTTAACGGTAAATAAAACATTTGTGGCTACAAAAACCCATTGTATTTGCTAAACCCTAACTGAGCCATTCAAAAACCCATTGTATTTGCTAAACCCTAACTGAGCCATTCAAAAACCCATTGTATTTGCTAAACCCTAACTGAGCCATTCAAAAACCCATTGTATTTGCTAAACCCCAACTGAGCCATTCAAAAACCCATTGTATTTGCTAACCCTAACTGAGCCATTGTATGTGCTCGACAGTGGTATCGATTCTTGCATGATTCTCTAAACTTAAAACTAAATTTAAGATCAGTCTCTCCTTTTCATTCATTATGGAGAATGACAAAGAAAGACTGTTGTCAAATTTAAGTTTAGATTCAGATAATCGTGCCAGAATCGACACCAGTGTGTTATTATAATATGATGACTTTAGCGACCAATACATACAATTTCCTGTTTAATTTTTTAAGACATAATTTTAACGTACAGGGTCCCAATATTTTGGCAGTAGACAGCTACTTTCCACCTAATGCGCTGCAGCGTACCTGCTGTCTACTGTATATATTTGAGTGTTTAGATATTCTTAAACAATTATTGTCCAAGCTTAGATTTAGGCGTTTCGATGTTTTTGTAAAATATGTTGTACTTTGTATTCACGAGGAAATTATTTTATACTACAGGTCGCCCGCGCGTTAACTTAGTTTCTTGAAAATCCCTCTGGAACCTAACATTTTTCGGGAAAAAAGGAGCATAAATCTAGGGTGTCAGCTAACTCAATACCAAATTTAATTAAAATCGCTCCAGCCGTTTAGACGTGAAGAAGTAACAAACATACACACTCACATACTCACACACTCACAAACTATCGCCTTTATAATATTAGTGAGATTAAAGTTATTCTAAATTAAAAATTCTCAAAATGTTACAGCCATTTTGTGGCATATTTTTCATCGATACATGGTGAACTGTCATGCTTTTGAATAAAATCACAACTAGGAGTAAAATTATTTCTTCGTGAATGCAAAACTTCGAAAGTTATACAGATTGCCTTTCCATAAAGTAAGTCGTTGACTTGACAAAGTTTAACTTTACCTAACGAACTTACGTGGACCACGTTTCATAAAAAATAATAATAGTGTACTTTACTTACGCTAACATTAAAATTCATAGCTTGACGAAATAAAGTTCTATAAAAAAGTCTGAAACCTGTTTTTTTTTCTAGTATTTTTTTTACTGGAACAGTAGCTGTTGAATGCTAAAAAAATATATAAGGCCCGTATTACAGTATGACAACTAAGAGTTGATCTTTACTTGAGTAGCGTTAGAAGGGGATGCCCCTATGTGAGGGATGTCGAAAGTTGAAAAAAATATCGATATATCGATACATCGATCTTTTAAAAAATATCAATATCGGCTTCGATATATAGCGAAAAAAACATCGATATATCGGACCAATTTTCCCAAAAATATCGTACAGTATCTCACGAAATATGACACGAGAATAATAATGGAACGAGAATTATCTCCCTAAAAATAACCCTATTTTCGAATGATGAAAATGATTGCAGGGCCTCTCAGGTAAATGATTGCAGGGTCTCTTTCGTAAACAAGACTAGACAGTCACACACTTCACAGAATATAATGGAAATCAGCACAACCAATTCACCAGCGAAACAGATTTACAAATAATAGACAATACTAAATACAGCACAGATCATAGATATGTTGAATATCATTAATCTGAGATTCAGTTACGATTTTTCCAGATACGAATTTAGTTAGATCGTGATATGCCGCTAATAAAATTAAAAAAATATCGTTTTTGATACGAATTTCGATATTGGTTATTTTGTATCAATGTATCGATATATCGAATCAAAATATTTTGGCAAAAAATATCGATATATCGAACAAAAAATACGATACATCCTTTCAAGTAATAAAATTTTTTTTACATGTCTTTTTTTTTGTGTCACTAAACAGGCCCTGTCAGAATAACAGCGCTGGTGCGATACAATGTCGCATCAGCTAATGCTGAGGCAGGGTCCTGGTTAGCCCTGAGGTTTTTTTTTTATTATTTGTATCTGTAATGTGTAATATGAGGGTTAATAAAATTATATTCTATTCTATTCTATACATCGATATATTCTCAACAAGCCTACCCTATGTGCAATATATAGCAACATCCCTTTCTAACTACGATCAAGACTAGATCAATCACTGAGAATCTTTCTGTAATACGGGCCTAAAACTACTGGGTTGTCATACTAGTTTATGGAAAGGCTTCTGTGTAACTCTGTGTAATTTATCCCTTTACAAGCGGAAGGTCCAAATTTTACATTGCCTTTGAATGTTGTGATAGAGAATTAGGAAGCGAAACGGTTTTCGAATTTAAGTGTATGAATGTAAATAAATTCAAAGCTAGGAATAGTTGAAATTATATAATTAATTATAATTTTAATCTCGTCTCTCTTAAATTCGATTAATATTTTTAAGTGTGAAGAAGAAATAGCGACGTACGGTGCGACCAAGATCTCGTGACATTGACAGGAGGGCACTGCTCGTGAATAAATGGTGAAATGAGGATTACCATAAATCTCTTTACTAAAGAGAACACAATAATTTAAAATAACTCGGGAAGAGTGATAAGAAATATAAAAGGATTAAATGAAAGGCTTAAAATATCGTCATCATCATCACCATCATCAGCCTATTAATATCCCCATTGCTGGGGCACAGGCCTTTCCAATGGATGGAATAGGGAGATTGGGACATGACCCACCACGCAGGCCCAGTGCGGGTTCGCGTGTGCTAACGACTGCAGATGCAGTCGGGACCAACGGCTTAACGTGCCTTCCGAAGCACGGAGAAACTTGATATAGAAGATTTTTGGTCACCC